TTTATTGCACTTTATCAACGCACCACGCCATGGCTGATATATCAAAAGAAGGACGTATGCAATTGGCACTTGATGCCTATAAGAAAGGCCTTTTTTCATCAAAAACCGCAGCTGCTAAAGCTTTTGACGTGCCTCCAAGGACCTTTATGACATGTGTCAATGGGACTACTTCTCGCAAAGATTCAACAGCAAATTGTCGCAAATTGACAGATACTGAAGAAACTACGCTTTCAGCATGGATTCTTGATATGGACTGACGTGGCTTACCTCCACAAATATCAACAGTATGCTATCTGGCACAGTTATTGCTTTCTGCGCGGTTATCTTCATCAGAAGCTTCTGTTGGAGAGAAATGGGTGAACCAGTTTATCAAGCGCCATAAAGAACTTTGCTCCAAATACAGCCAAAAGTATGATTATCAACAAGCCAAATGTGAAGATCCAGAGCTTATCAAGGGGTGGTTTAAACGGTTTCATGATACTATTCAAAAGTATGGGATCGTGGAGCAAGATATCTACAACATGGATGAAACTGGCTTCCAAATGGGTGTGATATCAACTGCCAAAGTTATCTGCAGATCAGAAACAAGAGAGAGTCATGCAAAGATTATACAACCTGGGAATCATGAATGGGTTACTGCAATTGTAGCAGTAAATGCAATGGATGGGCCTTACCTCCGCAGATTATTCTAGCTGCAAAGAACCATCAATCTCAATGGTATAAGGTTGTCCCAAAGGATACTGAATCAGCATTAGTAAGAATGGCTGGACAAATGATGAATTAGGCTTTGAATGGCTTCAGGAAATGTTTGAGAAGCATACAGCTTCCCAAACTATTGGGAGATATCGCCTGTTGATTCTGGATGGTCACAGCAGTCATGCTACAGCAGAATTTGACAAGTTCTATACAGAAAGGAATATTATTCCTTTATATGCCACCACATTTGTCCCATCTGCTTCAACCACTTGATGTGAGCTGCTTCTCACCATTAAAGTGCCTATATGGCCAGAAGACTGAGGAGGTGATGCAAAACAGAATCCATTCTGTGGATAAGGAAGACTTCCTATATCTCTATCCTACAGTCCATCAACATGCTTTACCATCAAATATTCGAAGCGGATTTGCAGCAACTGGCCTAGTTCCATTATCACCAGAAAGAGTGCTTTCAAAGCTTCATATCCAGCTAAAGACACCAACACCACCGGTGATCTACAGCACATAGCAATCAATCTTTTAATGGCCCAGGCAAGACACCAGCTAATATGCATCAACTGGAGCAGCAAAAGAACAAATTCAACATCTCT